GCACTCCAGTCTGGGCGACAGAGTGAGACTCCAACTCCAAAAAAAAAAAAAGAAAAGAAATTATGTCTGTAGAGCTGTGTAGTGTGTTTGTGTTTTTATAAGAGAGTCATAGAGTTGGTGAAGTAGAAATCAACTAAGGTTAATTTATTACTGAAGGCGTGTTTTTGCGCGTGTAGTGGAGCCCTCGTGGACAGTGTGTATGAAGCCTGCAGGCGTTCAGTGGTGCCTGAGCCCTTCCCCTTCTCGCACTACTGGCTCACCCGGAGCAGCCTCCAGGCCTGCAAGCTTCGTTCCCCGTAAGTGCTCTGTGTCGCTGCATCGCGTTTCAGCCTTGGGTGCCCTATTTCCACGGTGCCTCTTCTGTGTCGAGATGCAGATACTTACCGTTGCGTTGCAGGTGCCTACAGTTCTGAGCACCGTCACCTGCCGCCCAGGTGTGTGACCTCGGAGCAGGAGGCTGCACCCTCTGCCTGGGGCTGTAGCAGGCTGCCCCTCCTGGGGGCGTGAGTGCACTCTGTGGCTACGCACAGCCTCGGAACCGCCTCAGGGCTCATTTCGCAGAACAACCCAGGCATCTGGTGATGTGCAGCTGTGCTTTTTGTCCCGGACTGTCTGTCCTGTCCTTGGGTGTCTGTCCCAGCAGGCGCACACGGGGAGCCTCACACTCACACCCATGTCCCCGGTGGGTCACAGCTGAGCCTCAGGGCGGTTTGTCTGGCTGCGACGAGTCTAACGGGTACTGTGAGCTTGGGTCGGGCTCGGGAGTTGTCTTCTGCCTCAGTTGCGCCCCTTCCAGCCGCGTGACCCCGCACACGCTGTCCTCGCGCGTTTTGCCTTCTCTGCCTGTGAAGTGGCGGCACCAGTCGCTGCTGGTAGAACTGTCACGCAGACGCTTAATTCCATGCATCCCCAGTGCTCAGGACAGTGCCTGCGAACTCTGGGGCCCATTACACGTGATCTCACCTGGTTATATGTTTGCATGGATCCGTGATGATGTGTATACATTTACACATCTGCCTTCTCATCTTTATTAGGAGTCTATGTTTCCTCCTTTATTTCCGCCCTGGCCATCTTCAGGCGTGAGCACGGCCTTCCGGTCATGCCTGGCCCGGCGGAGTGTGCGATCAGGAGCACAGTGTGCTTTGTGACACCCTGAATAGCATTTATGGGGCATATGCAGCAAAGATGACGTCGCCAACGGAGCAAACGGAACGAATGGCGGGAGAAACGCTTGCACGTCACACCTTGTCCCTTGCGTGACGTGGACGTGGAGTCCCAGCTCCCACTGCGTCCTGAGAGCCGAGTCTCGCGTGGACTTGCTTCCCAGCCGTGGCTCAGCTTCTGTCCTCACTCAGTGCCGATGAAAGCGCCTTCTTCCCTGTGCTCGGGCCCCTCCCTCCTATGTTGCCAAATACTTCTGCCTCTGCTTTTTGTTTGTTTGGTTTTTTTTTTTTTTTGAGTTGGAGTCTCACTCAGTCGCCCAGACTGGAGTGCAATGGCCGCTCCCGGCCACCGCAGCCTCGACCTGCTGGGCTCCGGCGATCCTTTCCGCCTCAGCCTTCCGAGTAGCCGGAATTACAGGCGCACGCTACCACGCCCGGGCTGATTTTTTGATTTATTGTA